CCTAAACATTTACTAATAAAAGTCAATCTGTTCCTAGCCTGTGAGCCTGCTGCCAGCATGGGGCTGCTCTGCTTTGGCTCAAACTGCTGGTGTCGTGGATGCACATGAGACTCTGAACCAGGGAGCAGCTGACTCCACTATGAACTACGTTGGACTTTATTGCTCCATGTTATTTGAAAGTGTAGCTACACCCCATGTATGGTTTGCGCAACCTACCAGTGCTAATATTGTATGCTACCCTGTGAAAACCTTAAACAAACCTCACAGTACCCCAGAGTGCTGTGGCACCCTGGTTGAGAATCACTGAATTATGAAAATAATCAATTGATTCACTTGAAATAGAGTTAATTTTTAAATGACCTATGCAGAATTATGCTATACAGTGGGCACATGTACATGTGCCTCTATGGCACTGTTGTTACTTCACTGTCATTTAGTACTTTCTTTTGGAAGGTTGCAGCCCTTGGGCCTGGTCAATCGTGCTGGATCTTTTAGCACAAATGAAGCAGTTTTTTTAAACCCAGATTCAGGGGTCAGAAGTTCAATCCTAGCTAATGACAGACTACCATGAGTTATTTAATTATTTGTAATGCTTGGTACTACATCTGTTCCCAAGTTTCTCCACCAAATTTTGTGGATTTACAGACACATTTTCCTAGGGATTCAAAATACATTTCTCCTTTTCTTTCTGCTTGAAAAAAATAAGTACACAAAACACAAAACAGATGCAAGTAGGGAAACGGGGAAAATGGCAATGCACAAACTGCTGTGAAAAGCCCTAAGCAAACAATCTGAAAAAAAATACACATTGAACTACATCATTATTACCCTAGCTTTTAGGACAGATACATAAGATCCCAGGATTTTAATGCAAGGCTTGCTGAAATCTCTGGGTTTCAGTGAGTCTTTCTGTTGACTGCAATGGGCCTAAGACTTTTGGCTTCCTCACTTGTACTCGTCCTCTCTTGTTTATTCCAGCTTCTAACTTCATGTGACTTATAGATTTCATGTGACAATTTCATAAACTGGATTTTCTAAATCTACATTTTTTTTGGCAAAATATGTTTCATTTAGCTTAGCGTTGTGGGATCATGAACAGGAACTGAAGGAATCTATTGGAAGGTACAGAAATGAAAGTTTTTGTGGAGAGCTGGTTGAGAATGTTATAGAAGAACTTTTTCTGCTGGAAAATCTGATTCAATGAAATAAAAACATTCTGTCAGACCATGTCAATTCTATCAAAAGTTTTGAAACAAACCAGACCTTGGCAGCCCATTTGTTGCTAGGCCTAGGACCTGGGACATCCTCCCAACTCTGCAGCTGCTTGCTATTTGGCTCTTCATCTTTACTATTATATTGCTTCCTTAAGAATCTTAAGGTTTGAAGCTAAATTCCTATATTGGTGGGTGGGTATTGGCACAGGTTCATTAGCTATGGCAAGTTATAGTAGGAGAGATGTTTCACCACCTCACCACCCATGGCTCTAATAGGAAGTAAAAGTAGAGTTGGTAAACTCCTCAGTAGTTTTAAAATGCTGCACTTTTCTTCCCTGTATGTTCAAAATCTGCTGCTGTTTACCTGAGGGCTTTTCACCAATCCTATAAATTAAGGAAGGAAACCATATTATATATTGGTGTCTGGAACCTTTATTGGTAGTGAAAAACACATGTTGGTGTAGGAGAGCTTCACTCATAATATCCTTAAATACTAGGGCTGTGAGAAACAGCACCATTTTGTTTCGACTTCTGTTTCAATGTTTTGATGGGACAGGGTTTTATTTGAGTTTCATTTAATTTCAAAACCACTGTTCTGTTTTGTTTTGTTGAAACTGTTTTGCTGTTTCCACGTTTTGCCCATAGGCTATAATGAGAAGCACAAAACTACCTATAACATTGTCATTTCTTACCTGATTAAGATGAAATTTGCAGAAATGGTAGCCCCTTCTGAGACCCTGAAACCTACCAAGTTTTAAGGAGATAGGTGCAAGGGTTTCAGGGAAACTGCACCTCAGGCTGCTGACAAGTAAAGCCTGTGACAGGGGTGACCCTGTGTGTGTGTTAAGATGAAGCAGGGTGAAAACTGAAGGGATGGTAGCCCCTGATGAGGCCATGAAGCCTTCTCAGTTTCAAGGAAATAGGTGCCATGGTTTCTGGGAAACTGCACCTCAGGTTGCTGACAAGCTAAACTTGTGACATGGATGACAGAAAGCAGTCCAGTTCAAACAATGTTTCCTTTTATGTTGTTTTTCCATCCTTCTCCCAGAGCACTGGGATTGGAAGGGACCTCAGGGAAGGATTACAGTCACTGGCCAGCTACACAGTCAATAATGAGAGCACCCCTTCCCCCCTCTTCCCCCTCCTTCTCCTTACTTCAGTTTCTGTTTCCCTGCAGGCAAGCCCAGCTTGAGCTTCGAAACTTGAAATGTTTTGAAACTTTTGAAACGTTTTGACTGCCCTTGTTTCATTCTGAGGCTGTTTCAAAGCCCTTCATTTCATTTAGATTTTGCTGTTTCTAGCTTGAAAAGAGTCAAAACAGTGTCAAACGAAACAATTGGTGAAATTTCACACAACCCTATTAAATACCCCTGTCCAAAGTAGTCTGCCAAGGCTTCCTTCATATTTTTCTCATGACAGCTGTAGGTGTCCACAGAAGTGATTGTTTCTTCAGACGTCTGTGTGGGCTGCTCTGGCTCAATAACCCGTCCACCCTAATGTGCCTTAAATATTGTCCAGGATACATAAAATCATTACTATGCTGTGACAGCCAGTGCACTATCTCGCTTTTAGATTCCACATCCATACATCAGTTACTAAGCCTTTAACAGCTCATTAAACAGCTCCCTCCGGGGGTCCCATGTGCAGTTTCACCAACCAAGGCAGTAGTGGCATGCAAGGTGCTCAGTGGTGGCAGATGACGGAACAAGGAGCAATGGTCTGAAGTTGCAGGAGGTGACGTTTAGGTTAGATATTAAGAAAAGCTCTCTCACTAGGAGGCTAGTAAAACACTGGATCAGGTTACCCAGAGAGGTGGTACAATCTCCATCCTTGGAGGCTTTCAAGACCCAGCTAGACAAAACTTCGACTGGGATGATCTAGTTGGGGATAGTCCTGCTTTGAGCAGGAGGTTAGATTAGGTGACCTCCTGAGGTCCCTTCCAACCCTAACTTTCTTTGATTCTATGGTAAGAGGTGATGCTCATCCCATTTATTTCAGTGGAAGTCACTTCCTACTCTTCATCATGGTGAACAGGCTCAAGAGTCCTTATAACCCTGATGCACATTTCCATGCCATCTAGAGATGGGGATAAATTCTCTTGGAGGTTCATGCCACATAGTGTAAATGGAGAAGCAGTCCCTTCTCGTATATATTCAGATACATGGTGACTTGCATGGAGGAAAAGGCACACAAAGTTCTGAAAGATGAGGCCTGTGCCTTCTCAGAGATTGTTTCATGATGGTTGATTGTCTGACCCCAGCCCATGAAAAAAAGCTTGCACTGAAAAACAGTCATGTGGTTGACATAGGAAAAGTTCCAGTAGAGTTGTAACAGCAAGACACGAAAGAACTATAAGAGAGCCCATGGTGGTGCTACATGGTCAGTTCCTGAAGGAGACTGTTGTGGTTGTTCTCTGTGCCATTGATTGTCTAGGAAGGGGTTTTTGACCTTTTTTAACAAGTGTACTCCCTCTGTCTCAAAGTTGTAGCTCATGTACCCCTTTATATTAAAATTATTTATAGATGCTGAGCATGTGTACCCATATGTGCACCCTCCTGCCTTACCTTAGGTAAGTCTGTGGGGGAAGGGAAAGGGCCATGGTGGGGTGCAGATTAAGGCCCCTGTGGTGAGGGAGGGAGTGGGGCACAGACAGGGACAGTGGGTGAATAGGGCCCTGGCCAGACTGGATTGTGGGACAATTGGAGCCTGGGTGGCTCATCCAGGGGCATGGGGTGTGCTCCTGCTGCTGCACACACCCTGGCAATGGCTTGAGGGGCACATGCCCTGCTTATCTATGTGCGGGGCAGAGGCAGTTGCCACTATGCTCTGGGCTTTGAGCGCCACTGCAGCTGCCCCAGGAACAATGCGACACCATGTGCTTCCCACCACTGGGGAGGCAGGGGGTGCGGTGCAGCCCGGTGGTGGCAGGCACGTGGCATCGCACCACTTCTGGGGCAGCTGCAGTGGCATGCAAAGCCCAGTCTGCAATGGCAGCTGCCTCCACCCACGCACAGATTGGGGGGGCAGGTGCCTTCCGGGCCTCTGCCAGGGTGTGCATAGCAGTGGGAGACCCCTGGTACTCCCTACCACCTTTTTAAGTACCCCTAGGGATATGCAAGTATGTGGAAGTAATGGGCTCAGAGTATGAAACTGCTTGGCCTCAAACTCTCAGAGCACACTACAGTACATATTCTGAAGGTTCTGGGTAAGGACAGCCACAAGTCACACTGCTATACCTGCTCAAGTGATATCTACTTGGGGCCAAGTAACAATCATAACCTCCTTTGGAGTAATTAGGCAGAACGGGATATACTTGTTACAATTCCTGCAAAAAAAATTCTGAAGTAAAGGCTTGTGTGCCCCTTAATATTTTCAGCAACTGAGGTGCCATCTAATGCTATGAACTAGTAGCCAAAATAATATCATAAAAGCTGACTTTCCAACCACCAGTTAAAATCATCACAGCGATAACATTGCATAACCAAATTGCATTAATAAATCTTGACAGGCAGAGATCATTGGTTGGGGCAGTATTCCATCCACCATTTTATAGTAAATGTCAAACACAGAAAGTTTAATGAATTCATTAGCCATCACCCAACTCCAGTAAGTACATTTGAGTGCAAGGGCAGAAGGTCATCAGAACGATTTCCAATTGTTAGGTATTTTCTCTCAAACAACAGTGGCTCAAAAAAATGCTATGTCTGGACTTTATTTATCTTTCAAAGCCTAAACAAATATTCTCAGAGACCCTCTAGTGCTCATTTCCAGCTGTGGAAATGAGTCAAGATCTAATGTCAGAGATGAAGATCCTGATTTTTATTTGCATTACATTTATTTTATACCATTCACAATGTAAAAATGCATTTAAGTGGATGCAGATGTAATTCACACCCAGTTAACTGACTCTCACTTTGCACTGCTTGGTGCAAAGTGGCCATAGTGTAATTAAAACTTCAGTCTAATGAACAAAATGGCACAGATTCCAGTTATGGCCCTTTTGGATGATCTGATGACTGAAAAGAGCTGTAATTCAGCTGCAAGTCAAATCACCAATGGAGAACTCCTTAGGAATAAGGGAATTACAAGGGGGCCCTGTGCCTTTGGGCTCCCTCATCCTTTGTATGTCAGCAGCATGTTGAAGGAAAAAAACCCATGGAGATAGAGGATTAGTGAAGTGGAATCCCAGAGCTTCCTGAAAGCATCCATCTCTAAGTGGTATTTCCCTTTCCTCTGCCTTTTCTGCAGAGCTCTCTCCAGTGTAGCAGAGAATCATTATCTGAGAGACTGGACAGGAAAGGGCAAAGCCAAGAACTCTGCATATGCAGAAGGCTGATACCCATGTATCACTTGCACACAAGCTGTCATCTCCATCTATTTTTACCAATGCAAACTCAAAAGGACATTCTTACCAGGAGACCTGGGAAAGTTATTGGGCTTTAACTCTGAGGACTTTCTGGGAAGTGCTATGTCCTGGTCATCTTGCATTGAAATAACTGAAAGGAAAAAAAACTGATTAACTTTCAAAATATTAGTAACACTGGAACTGAGCATTTAGGTTTTGTGTTGGTAACATTCTAGTCAGTACAGATCTACCACTCCTTTCAAAAATATATTACTGACCACTAATTTAGCTACACAGCTCAGTCTATTATTATTAACCAGACCATCAGTCAGCCCAAAGAAGGCCCACATGGATAAGAAGAAGCCAGACAAAGGTATATGGCTCACTAAGATAGCTACTGGCCTAGATGGGAGCAGAGCCCTGACTTCTAGCCTGCCTCAGGGGCAGAAACTTTCCAACTTCCAACAAATATTAAATGCAAGGTGTAGTGGGCCAGCTTCAAAAGGGGTCTGGATAAATATGACCTGGTGGTTAGAGCACTTTGCCAGGTAGCCAGAGATACATGTTCAAACCTTTGCTAGGTGAGGGGGGCCTAGAACCTTGGTCACCTGTTCTCTAGGCCAGTACCCTAACAACCTCAATTACTCAACCAGAAGTTGGGAAGACTGTCTTCTTCCTCACTTCCAGCAGGTATGCATGCAGGTATGCAAAATAGAATCTAAATCCGTGCCTATGTGCCAAGAGTTACAGCTACAAATCTGTGTCTGAGCCTTTTAAATTTATAAATTAAAATAGGTTTAAGTCCTCAGTCTGTAAGTTGCAGTATGAGGCTTTGACTCTTAGCAGTAAGCCATATTTTCATTAAATGAATTTAAGAGATAAACCAATAATTTTTAAATTACAGTTTCTAACCAAAAACAGGTACATTGTACATCTTTAATAAGTATTTACTAGAATATTTAAAAAGAAAAAATGCAAGCAATTAATTAATATATGATAGACGAGAGCATCAAGATTTCTGTTAGATTCACTGCCACTGAGAAGTTGCAAATGACTAGCAATACGTTTGGTTTGTTTTCATTTAAATTTCTGATATCTAAATGGGGTGACTTATTTCAGTTGTCTTACATTTCTGCAAATACATCCCAAACATATATTCTTAAAACAGAAATTAAATTACAAAACAAAGAAACTTACAGCTGTCCTGGCAGGTCCTCTGGCAATCTTCTAAGGACCAAAAGTTGTTCTGATTTCCTAGGCACCCACCATACCAGAATTTTTCACACAGTCTTGAATCTTTGTTATAGAAAAACCTGGGAATATACCCTCGGCAGATTCCAGCATCTTGCTCCAAGAAACAGTACTTGGGTTTTTCTGCTGAAAAGTAATAATTGATGAAGTGGATCAAAACTGTATCAAAACAGAAAGAACTTTTAAAAAGAAGTCTGTATCTTCAGGCTAGAGAAAAAAGTCTGACAAAAAGAAATCACATTGGCCCAAAATAGGCAAACTGTTCCTGTTGCTTGTTCCTCTCTTGCCATGAAGATGTATGTACTTTATGATTGGAAGCTTGAGAATGAATAGCCTCTTTAATTGTTAACCTATAGGAGAAGTTCTTATTAAGAATAGAATTGACTCTTCCTTTAAAATAAAGAACAGTAGCTTCATTGTATTTGTATTAATTACAAATTACTGTTTGATATCTGTGTTACCTCATTTAATGTGGGAGTTATAGACTCAAGGAGGGGTTATAAGAAAGGCAAAACAAAGAGAAAAAAATTCTAAGACTGTATCTCATCTTGCAAGTTCATCTAATATACAAGGGGGCAGGAAATCAGAAAGTGGAACACTTATTTTAAGTATCAGTGTTTGATTTCAGTTCCTAGTGAGTGATACTTGATTGTGAGAGCAAAACAAACCAAGGCAAGCTAAGAAATTCACAGCAGGCCAGATCCTATTTCACCTCACATGCCTAAACCTAAGTGGTGCATACACAGCACATAACTACAGTTTTTGGCACTTAGTACAGCTTGCAAATCAGCACTGGCTATAGTATGGCAATGAGCATGTTCACTAGGGATCTGGCCTGGGGAAATAGAATCACATAGATGCATGCTTGAGGCTGGACAAAAATTACAAGTAGCTGGGGTGAAGGTTAGTAGTACTACTAGGCTGGTATACTCACTTTGGGAGTTGGAGACACAAGCAACTAGGCTCCCTTCAGCCAGAGGGAAATTGAATCTACATCTCCAGTTTTGGAGCAAACCATCAGACTACAGGCCTGACATTGTCCAGAACCATATCCAATCCTCCTTTAGAAGCTGACCCACTGCCTTCCAAACAAGGAAGATAAGTCAGGTTAGAAAGACATATACAAGCCAGAGGGTGAGATGCTGCCCTGGAAGGAAGAAGACCCTGAGTCCTAACTCGGGCGTCAGGTGTCAACGGCTCAAAAATTCCCTACTCTGGTTTCCCAAGGTGCTGTGGGCCAGCTTCAAGCGTGACATGGGCAATACATGGCCTGTGGTCTGTTGGTTACAGCTAGCAAGAAGGAGATGTAGGTTTAAACCCGTACTGCGTGAGGAAAGTGCATAGAGCTTGGCTATGCTACTCCTTGGGCAAGTGCCCATTCTACTAAGATGTTGGCAGGAGGAACGTCTTCCCCCTCAGGAGATGTAGACACACGGCAATTCTATTTCTCCAAAGGAGGAACTAAAATCCTAAACTCTGTACTTATGCCAAAAACTTACATGCTGTTGAAGTGGCATGTATGTAGGCTGGTTAGGCATTAGCAAAATAAGATCTGGCCCATAGTGTAGTTTGATATAGACACCTAAAAACACATTATCATGGGCAACAGAAATGAAACTCATGGCACAACTGTAGATTTTCAGATCATTTACCTTTCTTTAAATAAAAAAAGAAACAAAATTACAGCAGTCCATACTTGTGTTCCTTGTGTTCTCAGGTACATGTGCATTTTGGCAGCTCTTCTGAATTGTGAGTTATATACCTCATTAATTAGTCAATCATATAAAACATTGTGTGTGAATGTGAACAATGAAATTGGATCCATCTGATCTACTGAGAACCGAAGAGACAGACAGTCACTCAGATAAATCATTCTGTATTTTTTTCTGCAATAACAGAAGCCTCAGAGAAGGTTCTTCAAACAAATGGTACAGAATATTTCAAAGCAATCTGCATCAAGGAGGATAGGTGAACTATATGGGGCAGATTGTAGAATTATGTATATAACTTAAAACAGCTGCTATGCATTTTAGAAAAACACTTGAAATTTTGTATTAAAATGTGCTCTTGTGATGAAATGAAACCTAGTATATAGAGTTTGGCTCACAGCTTTTTTCTTTTTATAACTGGCTTTCATAAGCTTTTAAAGACTAGGGTTATGAAGGATAGGGTCACAGTACCTTAACTATAATGGTATGTACACATGCTAGCATTATACACTTAAGGAGCCATTGTTCTTTCCTGAGATCCAATGTCCAAGAATGTGTTACCAGAGATACAGTAAACATGTAATGCTGTTGATTATTAGCTGCAAAAGCTGAGTTTTTTTCAGGTTATTTTCTAGATCTTAAAGGAAATATTGCAAAATTTCTGTAGGATTTGCAGAAAATCAACTTGACATTTTAATTCATTATTTCATATTCTTATTTTTAGATATTTTTAAAGAAAGAAATAGAAGTCACAAGATTGGCTTAAACATTACCACAATGTCAATTAGAAAACATATGATATCAGAGTGGATTAGTACAAAATAATATCCTGCCTGTATATGAACACTCTAAAATATCTTCCCATTTTCATCCCAAATTGTGTGTTCAGGTGGAGGGAAAAGGAATAAAAATGTACAGGCACTTACTAGTAGGAGTAGGTCTTACTAGTGAAGTAAAATACTGACTTTTATGATCTTTAGGAAACTGTTGTCTATTATAACTGTCCCAAAAAGCTCTTCAGTGCACTAAAACACTGGGTATTAATTATGTAGGAAGAAAAAAACCTGTCCCCCTATATAGTGCAAAAATATTATGGTTTTTCCCACCTGTCTAGTATGATGGTTCATCAGATTGTATTAGATATTTCTCTGCAACAAATTAATGGGTATTTTCAGTGCAAGAGTAATGTTGTAGCCATGCAGGCCCAGAAATTATGAGAGAGGCAAGGATTTCTTAGGATGATATCTTTTATTGGACTGACTATGTAGTTGGGATAGAGTTAGACAAACTTTTGAAATCTTGTCTAGCTCTGTCCAAATCACATAGTCAGATTTCATAGACATTAGGGCTGGAAGGGACCATCATCAGGTCCATCCCCTTGCCCAAAGGGTAGGAAGTGAGCTAGAGTCAAAGGATCCCAGCAAGATAAGCATCCAAACATTTCTTAAAAGAATCCAGAGTAGGGGCTTGTACCACCTCTGGGGGTAGCCTATTCTAGGCCTTGGAGGCTTAGGCAGTAAAGAAGTTTTTCCTTATGTCCAGCCTAAAATGGTCTTGAAGGAGTCTGTGACCATTGGACCTCATCATCTCCTGGGGTGCTCTGGTGAACAGGTGTTCCCCCACGTCCCGATGCGCACTCCTTAAGTACTTATAGGTTGCCACCAAATCACACCTGAGCCTTTGCTTCTCTAGGCTGAAGCATCCCATGGCTCTCAGCCTCTCCTCATAGGGCCTGTTCTCTTGCCTTCTGATCATGCACATGGCTCTCCTCTGGACCGTCTCAAGCTTCTCCATGTCCTTTTTGAATTGTGGAGCCCGTAATTGGATGCAATACTCCACTGCGGTTTCACCAAGGCTGAGTACAATGGAAGGATGACTTCCTGAGACTCGCTTGAGAAACATCAATGGATGCGAGCCAGAGTTCTATTCACTTTACTGGCTATGGTATCACATTGGAGGCTCATGTTCATCTTGTGGTCAGTCATGTCCCTCAAGTCTCTTTCAGCCATAGTGCTAGCGAGTGTAGCACTGTCAAGCCTATCAGTGTGATGTGGGTTCCTGCCCCCCCGCAAGGTGGAACACCTTGCATTTCTCCGTACTGAATGCCATCAGGTTTTCGTATGTCCACCTTGCAAGCCTACCAAGGTTGGCCTGGATAACCAGCCTATCCTCAAGGGTGGACGCTCTTCCCCAAAGTTTGGAGTTATCAGCTAACTTAGCCAGTTCACTTCTGACACCAGAATCCAGATAATTTATAAAGATGTTAAAGAGTACAGGTGTGAGAACAGAGCCTTGGGGGACACCACTGGTCACTGAATGCCATGTTGATTCAGTTCTGTCAACTACCACTCTCTGGGTCTGACCTCGGAGCCAGTTCCCCAGCCATCAGACAGTAGTGTAGCCGAGGCCGCAGTTGGCCAATTTTTCCATGAGGACATCATGGGACACCAGATCAAAGGCTTTTTTAAAGTCTAGATATATGATATCAACCCCTTCCTCTTTGTCCAGGTGATATATCACCTTAGAATATTGCCTCCAGCTAGCCTATTGAGAGTGGTTTCTTTGATAATTTTTTCCAAGATTTTTCCAGGGATTGAGGTCAAACTGATTGGCCTGTAATTCTCCAGGTCTTCCTTCCTCCTTTTCTTGAAGATAGGCACCACATTGGCCATCTTCCAATCTTCAGGTACTTTGCCCGAGTGCCACAAGTTGTCAAATGTCCTTGCCAGTGGCCGCATTATGATGCCTGCCTGTTCATTAAGCACTCTTGGGTGCAATCTGTCCGGACCAACTGATTTATGGGTGTCCAGCCTCTCAAGGTGTTCCTTCAGTAGGCCAATACCCATGATGGGTGTATATTCACCCTGCCCTGGCCATCCCACATCATGTTAGGCAGGGCGGTCCCTATGGGCTGATGAAAAACCAATGCAAAGTATTCATTCCAAGTCATTCCAATAAAATATATTACCCTAAAAAATCCTTGCTTCTGGGTACATTCAGGCTCACAATGAAGGAGACTTGCAATTCTGGACCACTGGCAGAAAGCGTGTTTGATTTTAGGATCTTGAACTGTAAGATGTTAGACAGCTTGATGAAACTGTATCATTAAGCCACTAGTTCCTAACATTTATTATGTCTTAGCTGAAAGCTCAATACTCTGAACCATTAGACACAAAATCTTCTATAATCCTGGCTACATAAGCATTAATCACAAGATTAAAAAAACAACTATTGTTGCCTCACATTCCAACATGCTGGCAGCAGAAGTATTTGTGTGATACTGAAAGCATGTTAAAATTACATTAATACACTGGTCAGATACATTATTTCAGACTCCCTTCTGAGTCTGATACCCTTGCAGTTCTTGAAGGAGCAGAATAAACAATTTAATTTAATTTATAAGTGAGAAAATTGCCAAAATGACTACTGGGTTTGGCAGCCATGCTTGTACTAGATCCTCTGAAAGAGTAATAGTGAAAGAAGTCTAGTGAATACACTGCTTCAGCCTGAGGTTATTGCTCAGACCAGGAGAGATTCTGGAGCATTACAAATGACCTACCAAAAAGTGTGATTCTCTTTGTCTCAGACTTGTTCTCAAATATAAAAATTACCTGTGTTAAATTTTCCTTTCTTTTTCTTCATCGGGTGATCTACAATAAAAACAAACCAGAAAAAAAAGTTAACAAAAGCTGACTATCAAACAAACCATATTCAGTGTAAGGCTCTGAGATGATTAAAGTGCTGCCCTGGGGGCAAAGTGAGAAGAGTAGAACTAACACTCTTCCATCTTCTCTTTATTATGGAAATTTGCTAACACTAGCCATATCCACACATGGTGTGGATGTTTGGTTCCCAGGGAACAACTACTTGTTCCCAGGGAATGCCTGTGCCATGTGCCATCTGGTGCACAGCAAGTTACCATGGGGTAGTAGGGGAGGCTGGGGCAGCACTGGGCTGACCCCAGGAGCCTTACCTGGGGCCCTCCTGGGACTGCAGCACTGGTGATTCTGCTGTGCAGAATCTGGCTGGCAGCCACATCATGGCTCTGGGAGGCCCAGCTTTGCTTTTGAGTGGTCCATGCTGCCCGTGTGTGTGCTGCTTTGCTTTTTCTCTCTATGGGATTTTTTCTTCAGGGGTCAAAAAAACCCTCTGTGCTGCTCCCTTGCAGTGCAGAGAACAAGTGAATGTGTGGTATGTGGCACCACAGATGTGTCTGTGGCACCATATACTGCACAACCACGCTTATCTGGATGCGGCTACCGGTTCAGCTTCACTGATGTGGGAAGACTTGTGATAGTTGAGTCACTTGTGACATTTAAGTACCAGAGATAATAAAATTCTAACTCAGTTGATGTCAAGGATGAAAGTGATCGTGGAACCAGGATTCTGTCAAGTCATTTAACTTTGCCCAGTACGGGTTTTATAAACAGGATGCTGAAATGTCATTGACATCAGTGATCATATTGCAAGCTACAAACATTGTTGCTAGAAGTGGAGCTCAGCCAGATTTAACAAATCAAGGCTTTAGAGTTCTGACATGTGCCCTTCTCTTCACGCAGCCAACTCTACCATGCTGTATAATGCCATCATATGTTTTGGCAAGATCATAAATTGTGGCTGTTGGCAAAGAAATATAGAAGTCTGTCACTTCTAACATATGATTTTCTGTATTCTGTTTCTAATTCTAACACATTTGTAACAATCAGCAAAAGCTGCAGGCTGAAAGTTTTCAGTTCCACAAAACAAAATACTTGGAGATATTTTGTATAAGGGCTGAACAGGCACTATTGCTATGGTAATTTTATGATGATGTTCTGGGACATAAAGAAGGTGGTGATTTTCATTTGTTACATTACCCAAGTAATTTACATGCTTCAGAACCTCATGCCCAACAAAGTGAAAATAAAGAAATATAAAGGAAAGCATATGTATTTCCAAGAAAGGTCAGAGGTGAGACACTAGAAAAATCTTAGCTTTTGACTCTAGATAAGCCTTCCAACAACATCTTTTGAAACTCATCTAGAAGCATAAGCTATAACAAAATTTGTTAGGCATTTCAGAGCTGAAGTATTAAATTACCTTTGAAAATAAAACTTTGGTTATACTTACAAGTAAATTTTCTATGCCCAGCAGTGGTGCCCCTCCAGGACACTGCACTGCTCCATGCAGAATGCCTCCTACTCTGGAAGCAGTGTAGCCAAGTATGGGCAGTACTCCAGGCAAGCTAAGTAGCACTGCTGAGAGACAGTACAATTATTCCATCTTCATGCCAATTTCTCTGCTTTCTGTGCTTGAGTGCCCCAATGCCGGGCATGATAAGTTTGCTATATGGCAACGATCTTAGCTTACTAATGCAGATAGATGTCACAAAGCTGAACAGAATAACAACTAAATCCTACTTAAATTACCTTTAAAATTATGAGCTGGAGTCACTTTGAAAAGGGCTTAAGTTCCTTGTCTAACTGAGGAGACTGAGGGCCAGAATTTTAAGGGCATCTAGGTACATAACTCCCATTAATTTTAGTGAAAGTTTGGTGGTAATTTTTCAGAAAACAAGATGTCCATTTAGTCCTTAGTCCATTTTAAAGGCATTTAAACATTGCTAGGTGGGAAGTATTTCCTTGGCCAGAAAACACAGAAGGCAAACCGCTGTTATAAAACCTTTATGCAACTGTGTTACAACATCAGAAATTTTCTGCTTCAAGATCTGAAACACATGAATGTTCTTTCTAGCCAGGGACACTTTTCAGCACAGTTCTCCAAAAGTGGTATAGTTTTGAGTCATTGTGCAAGTCAGAATTAGGCCTGTGAGAACCAGGAAAAGTACTCATAAACACATTCACTAAATCAGAATGATTTGATAGGATTGAACTAAAATGATCTAATCCAGGAACATTAATGCAAACATCTTTTGCATGTCAACAGAGGATTTAATTTGTAGTCATGCACAACCAGGCATTGCCTCAGGATAATCCCCTAGTTCATATGATTAAGTATAAAAATTGTACTGTGTGATTTGGTGAAAAGTGTATGAAGTAATAGGTACACACTCATTTATACAAACTGCTTTTCAGACAATTATGAATAATAAATAAAATATTGATTGGTTCACACAGAGAGTATGAATTGTCTATGGCTTATTAGCAGCTGGCAGAAGTAAGGTTTTAGCACCTAGGTAGACCAGCCCCACTGAAAGGGGGCAACACAAACTGAGAAATCACTTGTCTAAATGTTTCCTTGACCTTTCTTTCACCTTTACTTATCTATGCCTGAAATTCCTTTCTTGACTCTACCTGCAAGTCTTCTCCTTTAAATTCTTTCTTATAAGATGTCCTTTAAATACTGTTTATAACTAACACTATTATAACTGTTTTAATATTATATATTATAAATAATACATTATTGTATTATACCATATATTTATTATTAATAATATAAATTAGTTCCCTGTGGTTCAGTGTAGAATACTTGCCTGCCACACAGGAGACCTGGGTTTAATTCCTGGATGCTTATACAAATGCAGCCATGGAGGCACCAAATGTCTGGATTCTGTCTCAGTGGCTTAAATGGGGGATGGAAGGTCTGGGCAGTCTCCACTCCTCCAAAAATCCTGCCTATGAATATACATCAAATGTCTGGGTGACCTCTCATGCATGCACCATGATCCAGAAGGATTGATGGATGCCAAACAAACAATATTAATTAATATATATTAATAATATATCAGTTAAAAGTATCTGATAAACATAACCAATTCTTTTTAATAAAGTAAAATAATATTGCAGATATTCTGTGTAAGACATGCATTGTAGCTTCTCCAGTGTCCATTTAGTCCTTTCATACTCAACTTCCACCTATTTCCTGGTCCCCTGACTTGTAAACTTCTTCAGTCCCTAACAGATATCCCAAAGTCTCTTTGTGGAGGTAGACTGCATCAATGGGTTCTTCCACAGTACAGGATTCCACAACCAGGTAACAAACTGCAGATTTGAGGCCTATAACAGTGGTCACTACTACACAAGACACTACGTCACCATAGCAATGTACTCCGTTGCTATAGAGTATTGCTACAGTGATGCAGCAGCTAAAAATAAAAGTGCTCCACCAGCATGGCCCAGTATGGTGTGCTACCGCACTGTCATTTAGTACTTCCAAAGAGAAGTACTAAATGATGGCACAGTAACAACAGCGCCTTAGAGGCACATACAGGCAAGCCCAGTGAGGAAAGGACTAGTTTTTATTTGATCTGTGACGTGCCAGACACATCTTTGATACCACATAAGCAATGACTCGTCTTTGACCTTATGCAGAAATTAAATTTCTACCGGGAAAGTCTCTGCGTGAGTGTATAGATCTTTAGGATTTTTTTTCCCAAAGCAAAAATTAGTGCTCTAGGAGAAAAACATAACTTGGGAACAACTAGGATTAATCACTCCTGGGAAAATTTGCCCAGGGGGAAAGAATGTACAATTTACCCTTCTGAACAAAACCACAGTGCCCAGCATCCCAGGGTCCTTTACAATGTTATGGACCCTTTTTGGAGTCTGCTGTCTGCACAATACAACTGTCATAATCAGAAGTAGACTACTACAAACTGTGACAGAGAAAGCACTTGCTGCTACATGCGAGAGTCTTAACTTTGTTCTTTGCTTTATCTTTGATAAGTTGTCTAAACTTAAAAATATTCTGATTGGGAATATGACTATACAGAAAAGCACACCAGTAATATTGAAAAAAAGCTTAATTGAAAACTTAAGTAATAATTTAATAGGAAAAAAGCCCTCTCTAAAAGATTTTTAATTATCCTTTTTAAACTGAGTAGTTTGTTATATCCCTCCTATAACATTTTATATGATGATTCAAAGATGTTCGTTAAAGATACAATTTCATGTCAGGGATTTATAAGTACACATGTGTGCATATATACACACACAGGTCTCAAACACTCTTTTTTGAATTTCACAATTTATTTTAAGTTCCTTTGTGATTTCTCTTTAATTCAGAAACCAGTTGATTTATAGACTAAGAAAAACTGGTAAAATTACACATTTTAGTAATTAAATAATGCTGTGAGATATTCCAGCTAAGGTGCTAGATTCAACAATGAGATTCATCTTGATTAAATTATACTTGCAAAATTAGATTAAATTAATCAGAGACCCCATGTTTATGGCTGATTGGCATCAGTGGTAAACTTTGGCCAGAACCACTTTATTCAGCTTGTATGCTACCTACTACCATCCCTTATGCTAGCGTAGAAAATAAGGCAATAAAATTGTGGAAAAAATGCCCTATGCTGTGCAATACCAGGCTGCAAGTTCAGTCTCTTTAGGGCATCTTCCATAGGCAACTAACAGCTGCTCTGATTAGACCTGGGGACCAGCTGGGCACACAATGAGACAAATTTGCAGCTGGTAAAAATGAGTTTAGCTCCATTTCAGTCAACTGATCTATGTCAAGTTATGCCAGCTGGGAATCTGGCCCAGTGGGTCTGGAATCAGGAAAGTACAAAGATTAATTTTGTCACCTTTCAAAGCTGTCTCAAGACCTGGGCCAACAGCTTTACCCCATGGAATTTAGGCGGAAGGCCACTATTTTCTTGCTGAATACCTTGATAACAACTTCCTTGTGCAAAATGAAAGGAAAATCC